CCCCCGCGGTTCTTCATTTCAGCTGGCTTTGCGGTAAAGCCGTGTGCCGCTCGGCTCCCGCTGCAGGTCGCCCCTGGGCTGCTGGCTGAGGGAGAGCTGAACTCTGTCCAAAGTGGCGAGCAATTGTCGTCTTCTCCTCTCTCCAGGGACACTCAAAATCAGAAGCAACTCCTGACAATTTCTCCGTGCGTGGCAGTGGTGACCATCCAGTTACCTCCGTGGGGATTCAGCCTGCCAGGTCTGGTGCGGAGGAGGCTGCCTTGGCTGCTGGTGCCGAAGGAGAGGTTGGTTTGGGCTGGGAAGGACTCCTGGTCTGGTAATGGGAACGCTGGTCTGAGCTCTGGAAGGGGAGCCCCGAGTCCAGCGCAGAGATTCGCATCACCCAGCTGAGGACAAGGAGGAATAAACCTGAGCTGATCCACTTCCATCCCACGGGAGCGCTCCTGGGAGGGTAATTATTTCATGTTCTTGTTGTTTTATTCACTCGGCGGAGCAAGTTTTGTAGGAGCGTGAAAGAAAGCGGCAGAGTTAGCTGTGAAGCGGCGGGTGCTTTGTGCATCTGCCGTGCTGGGAGAAGGGGTTCGCTGCTGGGGGCTCCCGATAGCAAAGCCGTGTCTTTGCGCCTGAGCTGGAGCCACCTGTGCCGCCGTGGTCCCACAAGCGTCCTCTCCCCTTGGCCTCCGCTGAAACTGGACCGGCTGTGGCCACGTTGTTCGCACGCATCTGAATTGGTGTTTGTTGTTGCTGGGAGTTACTGCTTATGGTTCCGGTTTCAAGGGGTGCAGCGCAGTTTGGCCCTGTAAATGCTACACCAGGTGTGGCTGGAAGGGGCCAGTTCCTGGGTCTGGAGGCAACTGCGTGGGATCCAGAGAGAAATTATTAAGATTAATTTTAAAAGTAGGTTTTACTGTGTCTGCTGTTGCCCCCGGGAAGGTGTTCCAGAATCATATTTTACTGCTGGAAAGAAACCTTGTTCTTATTTCCAGCCTGACTATGCTCATGTTCCCCTTGTCCGCCAGCATATGTCAGGAAATACGTGTGTCAAAACTGCGAGTCGATGGGTTCTTTTTGCACTGCTTGCATCATCTTCCTGAGAACTAAAGAAATAAAACAGGCCTGAAATGAAAACAGACGCCGCTAAGCGCAAAATGTAACTAATTAGGCTGGATGCTGGCCCTTTGAGTGGCGTTCTTTGTTCCGGTGTTTGCAGGAGTCAGTCGCGCTGCGATGGCACTTCTTGGTACCCTTGGGGAGCGGATCCTTCGGGTCTTACGTACGTGTCTCTCCCTGAGAGTTTAGGGAGCCTCGTGGTGTGAGGAGGGAGTGCCGGGAGCCGGCTCCTGTCAGCTTTTCAGCCTGGCTCCAGGCAGCTGAGCTCAGGGTGGCTGGAGGCCCCAGGACCCGGATCCCGTGGCTGCTTACGAGCCCTGGGTTCCCCTTGCTCAAGGGGCTCGGATCGCGTTGTGCACGTGTGGGAACGGGACTCTCTCGGGATCCTTTGTGCTCCTTCCCGATCAGCTGCAGCGTACAATGAGCGAGCGCTCCGGCCCTAACAGCCGTCTCGTTTTTATTCCTGTTTGTAGCTTGGCGCCTCGGAGGAGAGAGGATGGCTCAGGAGACGAACCAAACGCAGGTGCCTCTGTTGTGTACCACAGGCTGTGGGTTTTATGGCAGCCCCCGGACTAACGGGATGTGCTCCGTTTGCTATAAGGAGTTTCTACAGAGACAGCAGAGCAGTGACCGGATAAACCCCCCAGGTAGAGGATTTTTGTCTGAGAAATTTATCTTAAATGGGGGCCTGGGTGCAAACTGTGTTAAGCAACTGGGATAGAGCACGGTACTGGTACTGGCCACCAGCAGAGTCGTTCCCTGCTGGAAAACTCATGTCTGTCCCTTTTTGTGTAGACCCAAGCCTCTAAATCGAAGACCTTGAGCACTTCTGTTCCCTGTAAGGGCATAAATTGTTTTTTTTCCCAGTTCCAGCTGTTTGTGAAGCCCCAGCCCAGTCAGCACCTTCCAGTAAACTGTAAAACTTCACTTGCACCAACAGTGGCCCAGATTTTTAGCTGTTGCCTGCTCCCTGAGTCACGTGTTGACTGCTGGGAATAACGATAGATCCTCGAAACGATTTTTTTATTTGGGAAGAATTTGGCCTTTTGGGTTTGCCTAATTTTCTTATCTTAATAGGGTTGACAATCAGAAGCAATGAAAGAAAAGGTTTGTGTCTTGGAGCTAAACAGAGCTGACAGGTCTCCGAGCTGGGAGGCAGCTGGGTGCGCCAAGGGGTGCTCTTTCCATCATTAGCTGGGTTTTCTGCTGCTGAGAGTTTGTGCAGATGCCCCGCGTACAGGCTTTGCAATACCGCTGAGAAATGCCTTCTGCAATCTTCCACAGTTTTGTTCCTGGGTGTAATAATGGCTTTCCTTGAATTACCCGCCCAAAATATATATTGGGAGCACGGCTCTTCCTGACAAAGGGTTTTTCTAAAGCCCCTGACTTAGATCCTTGGCTGACATAAACCAACGTGTTTCTGTCGAAGCCGGTTCCTTTCAGCAGATGAGGATCTGGTTCTTAGAGCTTGGAGAAGTTGCAAGGTAACGCTGGGCTCCAGGTATGTTGGTAACTGCAGCGCTTTCACCTATGCTGATAGGAGAATATTTGTGCTGATGTGGGGTTTACTCAGCAGTGTTGAGGAAAAGAAGGGGAATCAAAGAGTGACGGAGGTGTCATGGGTGACTGAAGTCAGATTTTACCAGGCATGAAAAAACCATGCAGTAATGGAAGGCACGCAGCACGTAACTCCTGCGAATAAACTGTCGTCCCTCAAGAGGGAGTTCGCAGATCCCGAGGAGCTGAGCGGATCTCCGTAAATGAGGCCGGCAGTCCTTGGGAAGACGAGCAGCTAATTTCAGAAGGAAGTTATGATCCTGATACAAGGAGTCATTCCTGATCCACTAACATATGGATAGCTGCACTGGGTCACAGTGAGGTCTGCCTGGCGCTGATGTGCTGTCCTATGCACAAATTTGGAGGGGGGAGTATAAGAATAGGGGTTCTGGGAGTGATCCCAACTGGGGTGCACCCTCCCAGCTCCTGGTAGGGAGCAGGAGGTTAAAGCCTGCTGAAAGTGCTCACCCTGCTTTCTCCTTGGCTGTCAAGCACCCGAGGAATTTGCTGATGTTTTTAAGAGTTTACCAAGACTGTGATCTTCTCTCGTAGCGCCCAGTGGTCCCAACAGCAGCCCCATGGCTTCAGATTCAATTGCAGGGCAGTGTGCGGAGGGAGACTCCACGCCTGAGGATGTGAAAGCCAGGTAGGGGCATATTCTATGGGGCAGGGGGGATCTACAGCCACGCTAACAACCAGCCCTGGGATGCAAAGGGTAGGCTTTCATCCTTCGTGCGGCCAAGGGGATCTGTGAAGCGGGCTGGCTCACTCTTTGTTGTGACCCTGGTTTATCTGGAAGACTGAGATATCCCTGATGATGATGAGTCAGGTACCAGAGGGTTGGTAATAAATTAAAACCTGTAGTAAACTTAAGTGGCATCCTGGTTCTGTGAGAGCCCGTGCACCTTGTCTGTCACTGGCTGTGTTAAACTATTCTGTTTCAACTCAGTCCTAAGTGAAAGCCCCTGGTGATGATCCGGTCTGGAAGCTGCGCCTGCAGGATTAGGGACCTGGGTCGCGTTTGATAGGAAGGACGATAGCACTGTGTTGAGCTCTGCCATTGCAGTACAGTCCCAACTCTGTTTCCCTGTCCCTGGACTTGTTTGGATGGGCTGTTGCCTTGGCTTTGAGATATAATTGGGTGGAAAAGGAAACTGAGATCATCACAGATTAAGTCCATTTGTGTCTGTAAAGAATTCTGATCCCTAATCTCAAGGGGAATTGGCCTGCTGTACTCCTGAGCTACCTCTGAGCATAATGAAAGTAACTTTAGAGGCTGAAGATCTCTCCCCATAACCATTCATCGAAAGCAAATAATTGCGTTTGCTCTATGGTTTGTTTGTTGCAAATGCCTCCAGTGCTCCGACTCCTGTGACCCATCAGATGACGGCCATGAGCATATCCCGAGAAGAAAACAGCAGTGAGACAGAAGAATTCATCAAGACAGAAGAAGCCTCATCAGCATCTTCCTCATCAGGTAGATGGTGTGGCTTTTGCATGAGTCTGAATGACACCAGTCTCGGGAATTGGTTTGGGCAGCAAGTACAACACTGGCCACTAACTCCAGGGGATGGTTGTTACCTCCCGGTGGGAAAGGCACACCTAGCAAGAGAGCTAAGGACAAAACAGCTTATCTCTTTCTGAAACGGGGAGGAGAGAAAATGCTGTGCCTGAGGGCAGGCCGATAGAGATTGCTTTGTGGGCTGAGGGCTGAGTAGCTGCCAGCCCTCGACTGGCTGGCAGGAGGATAATCTTCCATGACGCCTAGCCTAGGGAATGGCAGAAAGCCCGGAGCGTCCCACTGCCTGCTGCACGGCTGTTGTTGGCTGCAGTTCCCTGCCATCTCACGAGGGAGGAAAGGAGACGGATCCCGGTGTGGCCTTGGGAGAGAGGAGACACGCTTGCGGCCGTGCCCAGGGGCAGCTGCAGGCCTGGTGGTTGCCACCCTGTGTGATGGGAGGCGTTCCTGCCCCTCAGAGGGGAGCGGTGACGCTGTCACTTTGTTTGTGAAGTGGGCACCTTGAAGTGGTAGAAGAGCACGGGTGTTGTCCAGCAGGGCACGTTCACAGTCTGAGTAACAGGGTGAGCCGTTGTGTTGCAGCCGAGCCGTAACCGAGTGACACTGCGTTGGAGACACCCTCCTTGAGTTCAGCTGACAGTTTGCTTGCATTCAAAGCTAAAAAAAGCCCCAAGAGTTGTTGGTTGCTGAAAGAACAGGCTGTAGTCACTGCACATGAGTGTGCATTTTGGATTTGGTAATCCCTGCTGTGCAAGCCCGGGAGGCGATTTACAACAGGTAGGCGAGAGACTATTTGGTGAAAGAGAGGCTTGGAAGAGCCTGCCCCTTCCTTCCAATGGTGGGGTTTTTAGAAAGTTGCTTAGGGTCAGATCCACAAAGCTATCTCTGCCTCTGACTGTGTGTCTCCTTAGCCTGATTTTCAGAGCGGCGTGCGCTGCAGGTGTGTATCTCCTAGTGGTTGGAGCTCCTCCCTCCTGTTGACTTCTCTAACCTGCTTAGGTACTGTAGGAAATCCTGCTAAGCATCAGTGACCTTTAACAATCTGGCTTTCAGAGCTCAGTTTTCCTTTTGGTAGATTAGAGACAGCGATGAGTATCTGTGTAAAGCATTCTGAGACCTACATACGAGGAACACTTATGTAACAGCAAAAATAATTAGGAGTACTTACAAGGGGTTAACTTTTTTTTTTTCCCCTCTGCAAAGATTAACTGTAGGCTCAGCTGTGCAGTTGAGTTACTGTACATCAGCTAAGCTGTAGTGACTATCCAGATGCGTGCTTAACCTATGGCAAGGACCAGGTAATTCTGCTTGGTTTTACCTTTTCTCAGCAGGAGCTAAAGGGCATCACGTTACCTTATGTATGCCTTCGCTAAACCATAATATATCCTTGGTGTTCCTGAGCCTTGAACTTAAGGAATTTGAAATAGAGAGAAAACATGAGGCTGCGTGAGGTGTAGATCTCTGTGGAACAAGGCAGATCTCACAGTTTGGGGTATGTCGGCCAGGGTGGCGTGCGCACAGAGCGGTTTGGCACACACCCAGAGTCGGTAGGGCCTCAAGCAGCTCCTGTAATAAAATGAATGTCTTGCTTGGTTTATCGAGAAGGGTAGCAAAACTCTTGTCTCTGTTTCAGGTACCCTGCTTGAAATATCCCAGAACACAGCTGAGGGAAAGACAGCTTCAGAAAAACCGAAACAGAAGAAGAATCGCTGCTTCACTTGCCGGAAGAAGATAGGGCTGACTGGTAAGACCCTGGCTGTGGGGATAACTTGCCTGTGGCCTAACTAGACTGGTTTTATAGCCCTGCGAACAGATCTCCTTGCGCCGTGATGCTGCCTGGGTTTAGAGGGTCGGCGTGGGTCAGTGGTTGGAGGTACCCCTCTAAAAAGTACTTTACATCTGCAAGACATGGTGCTGCAGGGGCAGCAGGAGGGGAGCTCCGACCCCCGAACAGCGCTGTCCCAGGCAGTAGCCTGGGGAACCTGCCGCTCGCTGTCAGGGTCCCTGCCAGCCCTGGGATGCAGGATTGTGGAACGGGATGGAGCCGTGCGTCTCGGGTTATTTCTGCCACTTGGCAAAAGCTGCTTGCAGAAGCAAAGGCAGTGCTTGCTGTGGATCTAATTCCGCTCTTATTCAAGTCAGGGATAAAGCTTTTATAACAGTGACGTGAACTGAATTAGACCCAAATTTAAAATCACGCTCCAGGACTCATCCCATTCGTTAGCACTGCTTGACTTCCTGAGAGCAGGGTGGCTCTTGGTGTTCAGCCTGTAAAGCTGAAGAGAGGGAAGTTCTGAGATGGTGTCAGGTAACTGGTATCAATGGGAAAACTGCCCCGGGAAGGCAATTCATGAAGTAATAAACTTGGCTGTGGTTTGTTAATGAAAGCATCATTCCCCTAAATTGACTCTGGCATTTAGCGTTTCCTTGGAAAAAGTTAACTCTAGAGCCGTGCCGGGCACGCTGTTCTAGCGGAGCGCTCGCCCCTTTAGCCTCCTCGGTGCGTTCAGCAGCCAGGGACTGCACACGCGCTTCTGTTTTCATCGGGCGGAAGCTGCTTTGGCATGGTCTGGCCTGGGAGGTTTGCCCAGCATCTGACACTGTGGAACCTGAGCTTGCCTGGATGTTTGAAAGCGCTGTCATAGAATAAACATGGGTTTACAAGCCTAGGACTGGGCAGGGTGCTCTGTGTCCAGCCTTCAAATCTGCAGGGAGGATTGTTTTCCTGGATGAATGTTCCCTTCAAACTGTGAGAAGTTTCCTCTCCTTTAGGAATCAACTTGAAGAAAAATCCTATGAATTCAGGGTGTTTAGGACAAAAGGAGTTTTCTCAAACAGGAGTACACTGGCACCTTGTAGCAAGGTCTTTGTGGTCTTTACAGCCTGTAGTTGGGAAGACCTGAAAGGAAAGAGCGTGAGTCACTGCCAGTGTGACAGGGAGCTGATCTGCTCTCCTGCAGCAAACCTCCTTCCCACTCTGTGCCTCAGTTTCCCAGTGTGCCATGATAACCGTAGCACTTCAAACGGCATTATCTCCAAGGGAAGTGACTAAATTATGAATTTTGAAGCCTAAATAGCTCGAAAGTGATCTAACGAGGTGAAGGTTTTGCTGCTTTGCCGGTCAGTCCAGCTGCTGCTGTGTGACGCCTGGGGAGCCAAGCTGGCTCGGAGGGCTCGGTTCCAGCTCAGGCTGCCTCCTTGCAGCCTGGGGATCCTGGTCTGGATTAGCAATCTGGTACTCTGCAGTCCCCAGCATGTCCCTTGTCCCTGGGGAATGCGGAGAGCAGCTGCTCTGGGAGCGTTTCCCACCGCCGTGACAGCTGGGGCTGCCCAGAGCGCGCCTGCGCTCACAGGAGCGGCTCAGCCAGAGGAAATCGAAGAGCGACCTGTGGTCTTCCCCCACACCGAGACTCCCTTTTGCCTGCTGGGGACAGCAGCCCCCCTCCCTCATCTGACCCTCTTTCTGCATTAGTGGAGTTTCCTGGCCTGGCAGGAAAGAGCGGGGGCCGTGCTGCCTTCCTGTCCAGCTGGACGGGGACTAACACGGCTTTGTCTCTCTGTTCTTCCTCCCATCAGGCTTTGACTGCCGCTGCGGGAACCTGTTCTGTGCCATTCACCGGTACTCCGACATGCACGCCTGCCCCTACGACTACAAGGCAGAAGCCGCCGAGAAGATCCGTAAGGAGAACCCCATCGTTATCGCTGAGAAGATCCAGAAGTTGTGAAGGGGGCTGAGCAGCTCCAACTGCAGCCAGGTGGCCTGGTGCTCCTCCCCTTCCTCCCAGCCTTCCTCTTCCTCCCAGCCCCATCCGGGGTGCGATGGGGACTCCAGCAGCACACACGAACCAACACTCAGACACGGAGACTCTTCGCACCTCTTTGACAGAAAACTGGCGTTCCTTCTCTCCCTTCCTGCCCGTGCCACAGCTCAGCTGATCCGTTCTCCACCAGCTTCCCAAGGGAAAAGGGACCATCCTGCCCCACTGCTCCGGTGCTGAGACCTTCAGACTTGTCTTCCGCCAGGGCGGTTTGCGTGGTCCGGGCAGCCTTTCCCTTCAGCCGGCAGCTCTGAGTCCTGCCAACCACCCGGCACTCGCGGCTGGAGCCCGTGAGCTGCCGCTGGACTTCGTTCCCTCTGCCCCGCCGTCTCTGTGGCGGGTGTAAAACCGGGAGCTGGGGAATCCCAGCAGTAAGGCAGGTGTTTGGTCTCGGATGCCGAAAAGAGGATTCTGTAGTTTTAATGCCCCAAATACCTTGCCCCTCCCTTTGAGACGCTGTTGTTGAAGCACCGGGATGGTTGAGCAGCACAGTAAAGTTATTTTGTGGCTTGAAGCGATGTTAGACACGCTCTAGCTGCAGGTCAGGACCTTTAGGGAAGTACCGCTCGCTGCCTCGCGCCTCTCGCCGTGGGGAGGGAGCTAGCCTACCGGGCTTGCTGCATCCTGGGACGTGGCTGGGCTGCGGGGCACCCTTGTACCAGCCCCCCGTGCTTCAATGCCCCGTGAATAATTGCTGGCCGCTTCCCAAGCGAGGTTTGTTGTAACGCAGCGGCGCCTGCGCCTCTTCTCTCCGCTCCCTGCCTTCTGCCTTACACGATTCTTTCTCATCAGGGTTGTGCACAAAGCTCAGATCTCCAAACCTCCCTTTCTTTTCCTGTCCCTGCATGGAGGCGGACAGCGGGGACCCTTCCTCCCCCTTGGGCCTCGTGGATCCTCGGCCTTTTTCCCCTATGAGCACGTTGGCTTGGGAAGCCCACCCGAGCCTCCCTCTGCTGCTCCTCCCCGTGGGCCAAGACAGGGACAGATCCCCAGGGGATGCTCCAAAAGCTGGACAGAGGGATCTGGGGCACAAGGAAAGGCACGGGAAGGGCTGCAGGGCACATGAAAAGTCGCGAGGAGGGTCTTGTGGTGCCCAGAAGTGCAGGCAAAAGCCCATGGAGAGCCCTGGGGAGAGACGCTTGGAGGGCTCTGGGCCTGCTCAAAGCCTTGCAGAGTTCTCAGGGGTGCTGGAAGACTCAGGGAGGGCTCCGGGGTGCAAGGGAAGGCAAAAGGAGAGCCTTGGGGTACACTTGACATGCTCAGAAGACTCGAGCTCCCCAAAAGGCACCTGGAGGGCTCTGGGGCACGCATATGGCCACGCAGGCATGTGGAAGGCTCTGGGGTGCAAGGAAAGCCAAAGGCCAGGCTTGGTAGCACTCCAGAAAAAACATGTGGAGGGCTCTGGGGCTGCTAGGAAGGGAAACGCGGGGCTCGGGTACGCAGCAAAAGGCAGGCGGAAGCTCCCGGGGCATTCTGAAAGCCACCTCCGCACCACGCAGGGCCTGCGCCCGCCGCAGAGCCCCCGGGGGGGCCTCTCCTCCCTGGGAACGCCGGGAGCAGGGCTGCAGCCACCGGGCTCCTGGCGGTCTCACAAACAGAGAAACCCGGACGGGTCCCGGGGGAAAAGCAGCAGCCTCTGCCCCACTTCTGGCCATCCCACGCTTTGGAAGCGCTTCCCTCGGCATCGACTCCTACAAGGGCGTCAGAGAGCGGAGCCGTAGGGGCCAAACTGGCAGGCGGGGAAAACCATGGCAGCTCCTTCCAAGCGTCGGCTTCCTTCCCCCGTTCATGGAAATTCTGCCCCGGTGATTGCGGGGAGATCGTTCCAAAGGTTTTGGTCGTTTTTTTCCTGATTTCAGCCCAAGCGGTGTGCGCCCTGCAGCAGCTACCATTGTACGGTGTTGCCGGAAGGATTCAGACCTCCAAAAATGATGCAGATCTCCCACCGGAGCGGAGGGGAGCCTGGCTCTTGCCAACCTTTTCCTTGGGTTTTTACTTCTGGGTGATGTTGGCGGCACGTTTTAGTGCCGGGATGCAACCGGGACATAAAACCATTGAGGTTTTGGCTGAGAATGAGCCGTCGTTCTGAGGGGGAAAGCCATGAGGAATTGCAACCACCCCTTGCTTTGCGTTCGCACGAAGGTCGTGAGCCCCTGCGGAGGGGAAGCAGCTCCCATGGATGCAACGGGAAAGCCCACATGGCAAAAGGGCAGCTGCCTGCTTCTCCACCACCTACCTTTTTCCCTTTTATTTCCTTCCTCTTCGTGAGTGTAAATATTAATACAATCTAGTTTGCTTGGATGCTGTGGATGGTTTGTTACGGGCACGGATGCGTTGCACACCAGTACTGGCTTATCTTTTGCCTCTTCTGGGGCGGCTGTGGGGCTCCGTGCCTCAGTTTCTCCATGGATAATAATTAGTCGTGCCCAGTGTGTGCAGAGAGTCAGATTTTCCATTTCTCTTCCCACCACCTTGGTACTTGGGCTGTGTCCTGGGGCTGTGTCCAGCACCCCTAAGCCCTGGAGGACCAGATTCTCCTTTGGTGGGGGAGCTGCTTTCTCTTCTACCCACATTTGCAGAGCTGGAGCTGGAAAGCACGGTGACAAAGAGCGGGGGTGTGTGTTGAAGATCCCCCAGCCCAACCGCTCCCCTACCCCTGCCATCCCACCCCCAAACCCTGGCCCTCAGCACCGCCTCTGCCCGGCTGTTAAATCCCCCCA